GGTTCCACGGCCACCCTACATCTGCCTTTCTGTATTACATACTGAATCTAAGTTAAACTGAGCCTGTCTCTGATTGGCTACAACTCTACACCTATCATATCTGATACATCTTCCTCACGAAGGGTCGGCGCTTCCTTCCTCTCAGACTGCAAGTGATCTTCAATGGAGGCAAGTCGCTCTTCGATCCCCTCCAGACGCGCGTCCATTGCATTCAGCCGCGCAGAAATTGTGCGTAGCTGGGCTACGAGGTAGGCATTTTCAGCCCCCTCTCCTGGAAGCAGACTTGGGTCATCCAACCCGTTCATAGCGCTCGCGGTGCGTAATGTCGTACTCTTCACCCTCCCCCAGGTGCCGTGCGAAATGCTGCCCGAACTTGGACGTGGTCATCGTCTTGTTACACTGCAGGTACATGCAGATAACACCAGCACCCTAGACACAATGCGAGGACATGCGAGCGGCGTGAAAAGGAAAGATTGAAACGTCTAAGGAATCAAGAGCGGCTCCGAGCCCTCGGCCAATCCCGCTAAACAACTTCTCAGAACAGCACGCAACCAAGGATACCCTTTGACTACATATTGAATACACGTTACATTCAGAGTACACGCAACATTGAGGCCACAGGCTACACTTAGACTACAGGGTACAAACGGTTTTTTTGCAAAACAGGGTGGGTTTTCAATCCAACGTGTCTTTCGAAAAAACGGCCCCGAAAACGAATTATTTTAAAATTACGGCCCCGAAACAGGATTTCCCCTTTTAGAAACTAATAAAACACTTTGTCATTTAGGAAACTGAATAAAAGCTTAAAGCAGATTGAATAGATAAAACTTAATTTGACGCATCCTGAAAGTTGATGCTGCATTGTTGTATGCAAATTTATTGAGCCATGTAGGATTAGTGAATGCTGAACTGATATTGGCGTTGCAACCCTCCTTATCTAACTTCTGTAATTACGCAGTTTCATCGCGCAATCTTTATTTGTTAGATCATATTTAAAATCGGTACTGCTGCAGAGGTCCTTCAATTCAATATTATACAGAATTGCAACATCGAGGTGATCGAGAAAAAAATACTACAGTGTGCGTCAATATCCACACGGAGTGCATGGTGGCTATTTTAATACTAAAAGTTAAAATCTAAAAGTTTTTACAATAATACAGAAACTGTTTGTAAACTAACCTTATCACTTTATTTTTCATTATAACCTTCTACTCTCCATTCGGATCAGTTTTCTTTTTATTGACGCTATATTTTTACCGCCCTGGCAATTATTATTGTGATTTCAGCTTTACTTAATATTTTGCGAAGCAATAAATATAACAATCTCGAATATTTTTTATGCGGATTTTACTAATAGCGATACAGATCCCTATCTATCGCCAAAAATCGGATGTGTTTGGTTGTGAAATCTGTTTATACTCCCTAGAATGATCAGCGATTTCTTGAGACTTTACGTGCTGGTATGTACGTTCCAGTCCTGTTTTAGTGATTTGCCATACCATCGCTTTGCTACTGTAGTGCCGCTGCATATCTTAAAGTTGCGCAGAAGATTTCTGAGCCTTCCTAGGCACAGCAGCCTAGGAAGGCTCAGAACTCCAAGTATGAAGAACTGGTCATGTGCTACTACCAGGAATTCCCATGTATCATGTACTCTATGGTGTGTCTCTGCAAGATGGAATCCTTTTATACAGGTGTACAGTATGAACGCGCTGACTGTTGACTGTCCATGCATCCAAAAGTGCGTTATCAGAACTTAGTTGAAGGAGGTTTATCTGCGATTTGATCTTTTGTGGGCACGGTGCTCGTAAGCAGCACCTACATGTACATGCACTAACATGTATGAAGCGGACGACATTCTCTAAAGGGACCCTCTATCTCCTACTTCCACTAGAAAACCATGTACAGTAGTGGGTGTATTATCGATTATTCTCGAATTGACCGCACGTCATATTGCTGGAAAGCTGATGTACGTGTGGGTAGATTCGGTGAGGATAGCGACCCCATCTCAGTTTAGATCCTCGAGGTTGTTTAGTGCGTTGTGGGATCAATGATTTGCTACGCGTTAGTACCGTCAATAATCGACTCGATAATTCATGCCAGCCAGTCCAATCGCAAAATCGTGCTGTGCTGGTGCCTCTACTTGTGCTGGAGTGTCCTACAGAGACCGGAGGTTCATTCTGCATTTCGCCAACTGCCTCGCAGTACCTCGTGCATCCTGAAGCTACGCCAACGGCTTCTTTCCATCGACACAACGCAATGCTAACGCCCTTGCTGGTGGCAGTGCTTTTGCCTCTGGCTAGTGTGGCATCAGCTGGATACATCAATTCCTACGATGCCCAAGCCCAAGCCATCATCGATGGATTTTCCACGGCTCAGGTACTTGGTCAGATGACGCAGCTCGACCTCAGCACAGTCATGATAAATAGTTCAACTCGCACGATCAACGAGACTGCATTGCGTGCTTACGCGAAGCTGAACGTTGGTTCGTACTTCAACACCAACTGGGGTGACAAGCCGATCATGGGGAGATACAGCTACAACGCTAGCGAGTTCCGCGCCATCGTTCAGCGTATCCAAGAAGTCAGCATGGAGGAGAACGGAGGCCACCCCGTCATCTACGGGCTCGATTCCATTCACGGTGCCAGCTACGTTTCCAATGCCGTGCTCCTGCCCCACCAGATCAACCAGGGTGCGAGTTTCAACCCGGATCTGGTCTACGAGGTTGGACGCATCACTTCTCGCGACAGCGAAGCTGCAGGCGCGAGCTGGATATTCAGTCCAATTCTGGATATCTCACAGAACTCTCTATGGGCTCGCACCTTAGAGACGTACGGTGAGGACCCGTACTTGACCTCGATCATGGGAGCCTCTTATGTTCGTGGACTTCAGAGCTACAACCAGACGGCTGCATGCGTCAAGCACTTTCTCGGATATTCCAAGACCCCCACCGGCCATG